GGTGGTAATGTTCCTACTATTAAGTGTTATCATTGTAAGTACCTGATCGACTGAACAATCATAGTGGAAAGGATAATGGCAATGTAGCCATTGTGCAAGAGGGTTATGAATCCTCTGATGTCCTGGTGATTTCAAGCAGCAGCTCTAGCAAGTAGTGGATTATGGATTCAGAGTGTACTTGGCACTTGACTCCAAACAAAGACGTGTTTGAAGAATTTTGTGACCAAGATGATGGATCAGTACTGCTGGAAAACAACAAAGCTTGCAAAATTGCAGGTATTAGATACGTAAGATTCAAGCTCTATAATGAGTCAGTAAGGCTATTGACTGATGTTAGGTATGTACTTGATCTTAAGAGGAATTTGATTTCTCTTGGTGAATTTGACAAGAAAGGACATGTTTTCAAAGGAGAGCAAAGTATCCTACAGGTAATGAAGGCTTCGTAGGAATCCTTGAGATGCGTGAAGAAATAAGGCTTGTATACCCTTGAGGATGAGGTTGTAAGTGGTTCAGCAGATGTGGCATTCACAAAACCTGTGTCGAAGACTGAGCTATGGCATAAGAGACTTAGTCATGTTAGTGAAAGAGGTCTGGTCGAATTGTCAAAACAAAATTTGTTGTATGGTGACAAGGTCGAAAAACTGGAGTTTTATGAACCTTGTGTATTTGGTAAATCATGTAGAATGAAGTTTAACAAAGGTAAGCAAATAACACATGGGCTCCTTGATTACATTCATGCTGATCTTTGGGGGTCTACAAGAAATCTTTTATACTCAGGTCCAAAGTATTTCCTATCCATAGTTGGTATTATTCTAGAAAGTTATAGGTATTCATCCAGAAGACTAAGGATGAAACTTTTGAAAATTTCAAAAGTTGGAAGACTCTGGTCGAAAATGAAACTGGCAGGAAGGTCAAGAGGTTTAGGACCAATAATGGTCTCGAATTTTGCAATGAGGATTTTGACAGCTATTGTGTTGCGTCTGGTATTGCAAGGCATATAACTACTCCATAAACTCCCCGATAAATTGGTTTGGCTGAAAGGTTTAATCGAACCATTTTGGAATGAGTAAGGTGCATGTTAGTTAGTGTAAGATTGAAAAAGGTGTTTTAGGCTGAGGCAGTCATGACTGCAGCTTACCTGATAAATAGGTGTCCCTCGACAGCTTTAGGGATGAAAACATCTAAAGAAGTCTGGTCAAAACATCCACCTAATCTCGACAGACTTAAAGTATCTAGCTGCGTAGCCCATGCTCACATTAGGTAAGACAAGGTCGAACCTAAAGCTCTGATATTTATGTTTATTGGATACCCTGGAGGAGTTAAAGCTTATAGGTTGTGATGTCTTAAGCAAGGTCATATGAGGTGTATCACAAGTCGAGATGTAGTTTTCAATGAAGCAAAAATGGCTTTCAGAAAAACTGATGACGTTGGTCGAAGCACCAAGATCTCTGAAGAAGAGCTGGAACAAAAAGGGATTCCTATTGAGGTGAAGCATGTTGATGTTGAGTTACATAACCCATATGAAGTCGAAGAAGAAGCAAAAGTTATTATCGAAGCTGAGGAGACTGATAATGACTACTTGCTGGCAAAAGACAGGTCGAGAAGAGTCATCAAGCCACCTCAGAGGCTTCGTTATGCAGATCTCATAGCTTATGCCTTAATATCTGCAAGTGAGATTCTTGAAGAAGAACCTAAAGACTATAAGGAAGTTAAGAGGAGTCAAAATAAGACTGAATGGCCGAAAGCCATGGATGATGAGATGAAATCTCTTCAATGATAATAACATTTGGGAGCTTATCGAGAAACCTGCAGGGGCCCGGTTAGTCAGTTGTAGTGGATTTTCAAGGTTAAAGAAGGAAATGAAGGAGTGATGTCAAAGCGTTTTAAGGTAAGGTTAGTTGCGAGTGGGTTTACTCAGAAAGTCTACTTCAATGATGTGTTCTCATCTATTGTAAAGCATATATCCATTATAATATTTTTAGCCATGGTAGAAAAGTTTGACCTAAAACTTGAACAAATGGATGCGAAGACAACCTTCATGTATGGTGATCTAGATGAAACAATCATGATGAGACAACTTGAAGGGTATGCATAAAAGGGAAAGGAAGATTATGTGTGCAAGCCAAATAGGTATTTGTATGGCCTGAAACAATCTTCTCGCCAATGAAATAGGAGATTCGACAAGTTCATGACACACATTGGTTTCACTAAGAGTCCGTTTGACCATTGTGTTTACTTCAAGTTTCGACCTGGAAATTCACTTTTTATTTTGTTGCTTTATGTGGATGGCATCCTCATAGAGATCAATAGCGTCGAAGATGTTATGAATGTGAAGGATGAACTCGATGAAGGATTTGATAGTCGCCTCTAGAATTCTCGGGATTGACCTCTAGAGAGATAGAAAGTAGTAGAGATTATGCTTACTCAAGAGACATGACTCAAAAAGATTATCGACAAGTTTGGTATATCGAACTCAAAGTTTGTTCTAACACCGACTAATCCTCAGTACAAGCTGAGTATGACTCAAAGTCCTAGTACTGAAGTAAAAAGCCTATATGAATAACATTTTATATGCTAGTATAGTAGGTTCTTTGATGTATGATATGGTTTGTGTGAGGTTAGACATAGCGTACAATGGGAGACTTGTAAGCAGGTATATGGTCAAGCCTAGGAAGGCGCACTGGAAAATCTTAAAATGGATTCTTAGGTACACAATGGGTGTCTAAGCAGAGTCCTGATTTATGGTGGAGCTTGTGGTGACGATAGCAAAGTTCAAATCGAAGGATTTGTCGACTCTGATTATGCAGGTTATATGGATTTCAGAAAATCTATTTCTCGATATGTGTTCATTATGTTTGACACAACAATCAGTTGGAAAGCAACACTTCAGAAGGTTGTTGCCTTATCAACCACTGAAGTGAAGTATATCGCCCTCACTGAAGCTGTGAAAGAAGTACTTTGGCTTGAAATTTTTGCTAAGGAGCTGAAACTTCTAGGTCGAGTTATCACTGTTAAATGTGATAGTCAAAGTGAAATACACATGTCAAAAAATTCAACCTATCATGAACGAACCAAGCACATAGATGTTAGGATGCACTTCGTCAGAGAGATGATCGAGCGTGGAGAAGTCCAAGTGCTGAAGGTTTCGACTGATGACAATGTTGCTGATATGATCACCAAGACATTGCCAAGTGGCAAGTTTTTCCACTTTATGGAGTTGATAAAGTTGCATAATGAAAGCTAGTTTATTCCCTTGTTAGTATAGAGTTTGCTCTAAGGTGGAGATGTGTGGTATTTAGATCGAACTCTGGTGTCAAAAAGAGTAGCTTCATTGTTCGACAAGAGTTGTGCATGTTGTAGTCGAAGTCTGTTCAAGCATGTTGTCGAAATATGTTAACTTTGTGTTTAAGTTAGTATGTCGAATTGGGCCTTGTAAGCTCAATTGTTAAGTTAACGTGTAACTTAAGTTAGCTTAATAATATATAAATAAATTAGTTCTGTTTCACAATAATTTTTTATGACAATAGGTCTACAATTCATATTGCAAACAATCCTGTTTTTGATTAATGCACTAAACACATTGAAATGAACTATCACGAAATTCGAAATTAACTTCAAGTCAAAATAATATATCTCATGTCAATCAGCTCAACCAACCAAATTATTATAGTTTCCACGGCCCTTTACACCTTAGTCCCTTCAATATACTATCGCCCAAACTTAAATTTTATTCAACATACACTCCAATTTTAGGAAGGGTGTTAAACAGAGCAACCAACCAACAATCCTCTACACCATAATCTCTTCACTATACTATCACCCAAATTTGAATTGTTCAACATACACTCCAATTTAAGGAAGGGTGTTAAACATTGCAACGCTTAATTATTTTTTAGATTATTAAGTTCATAGTTGATGATTTTAGATTATTAAGTTTATTTTATAAGAGTTGATGATTCCATAAGCATTGGTTATAGTAGTTGTAACTACCCTAAGTTGTAACTATGCCAAAAATTAAGATCTCACTTCTCTTCGATCATTAAGACATTAAGATGTAAGGGTCAAGTCTTTCAAACTCCTCCAAACAACTCTTCTAATACAATTTTTAAATTCTCGCAAATTAGACTATTTTTATATGATAAATAAAATTAAACCCCTCAAAATTCTATTCACCTAAATCCTTCAATTATTTTCAAGTCACCCTCTTTTCTATCCTTTAATTGTTTCCACGTCACCCTCTTTTCTGAAACTCCGAAGCAAAATCTGTCATTATTTTTGTAGATACATCAAGTGTCCTAGCCGTTTGTAACCTCGCAAAATTTGATGTCTTTTTTTTCTTACTTGCAGCCGTTTGTAACCTCGCAAAATTTTGCAGAAGGTTATGATGTCTTTTTTTTTTCTTTCTTGTAGCCGTTTGTAACCTCACAAAATTATGCAGAAGGTGCTGCTGTCTTTTTTTTTTCTAGAATCTATTCAAATCTACTTTGACCGCTTGCCCCGTTCTTTGAAAGGCTTTGATAGGAAAGCCTAACCAGGGCGGACATGTCTCTTTGCCACCCCTAAACTTTAATACTTTAATGCATTGTGAAATGAATTTCTTATTATATGTGATAAAGAAAATACATAAACACAGGCGAAATAGAGCATGTTAAAGCAGATAATTTAAACTTTAAACTGCACTTCAGAATACATCATACAGAAGCAACTAAAACTTAACTCTTCAATTGTCAAATTTTTAATATAATTTATAAACTCTTGTGTTGCTAAAGTTAAGCTTTCTAGACACACCAAGAAAGCCATATACTTCTATTACATGTATCTCATTTTAGCAATTTATTTATTTACCAAATTTACAGAACCAAATAAAATTTTGGAATGGAAGCATAGAAATGTGAGCGAAATATTAATCTCTGACTAAAAGAACTGTAACAATAGACAACAATCAAATGGCCTGATGCACAACTTGCTTCTTGACATAATATGAAGTTCAAGGATTGTCCCTACTCCCTAGGTTCAAGAGCAGCAATTTCCTTCATGACTTGAGCTTTGTCAGCTTCAAATTGTTCATCCTCTAAAAATCACAATAAATATGCAAATGTGGGAAGATGATACCATTAAAATAATTGCAAACTACTGACAAATAGCATCAGATCCTTTACCTTTATCGATTTTCAAGTCGCCCAACAGCCTCAGAAGCTTGTTTCTGTTGGTAACAAGTATGCCGATGATATCTGGTGGTTTCTTTTGGTTAGCAGCAAATAGCTGTTACAACAAGGCATCAATACAGAGAAGCATAAGTTGTGAGGCAAAAGGTTAAGAACAACAGCTTCAACGTGAATGATATATTATGTAATTAAGTAATTACAATACCTTGAAAACATGAAATGCTTCGATCTGTATGCTCTTGCTTGACTCCTGCAGAAAGATATCAGCAATAATATATTAAAATCCTGTGTAAACATATATAATTAACTACTGAACTTTCTTTTCTATATTAAAATGCGTGCTCATCAGCAGAGCCGTCTTAAGTTTTTGATGGCCCTAGCAACGGTTCAATCATTATAAAACAATCAGAGGCCCTATTTAACCAAGTTAACAGTCACAAATATTTTGAGGCCTTATTTATCTACGGTTTAACTGTGACAAATTTTGAGTCATGTTAGGTAGCTCGCCTTACACGCCCTCAAAGACGGCTCTACTCATCATATCAAAGACGGGGCTCTACTCACCAGAAACCCAATATTGACCATAAGGTTACCTATTTAGTAATCACTATGCCATGACAGACGGGCTGGAACAGTATGAACCTCTGAACAGGGTGCTAAGTATTTAAATGAAACAAATACATTTACTAATGCAGAAAAATAAGGCAGAAAAGAAGACAAGTTGTAACTCTTGAAACACATATGAAGTTATACAGGAAAAACCATACTCTCATAAGATTCATTAAAATCCTTAAGTTATCTCTGGAGCTGACATATCTTGACATTACAGCAGCATTTGAGCGATCAAGTAACATATCTCCCAACAACTGTAAAAGAAAGAGAGAAAAACATAACTACATATCAATTTAACAAGAAATAAAAATACCATTAAACAAGCAAAAATTTATTACAACAATTTCAAGAGGATAATTCTTTCTCTGAATCCTAGACATCTCCATTCTTGCCTAATTCAATATTCTTACAGTCAAGATAAATGCAAAAAAAAACTCACAACATACCTTCACAGCTTGGCGCCTTGTAATATAATTTGAAGATTCCAATAGTTTGGAGTTATATTCATCAAAAAACTGAAAGAATTTTACAATTAAAACAAATGAGTTGTGGCTGGTAACTAGCATGGAATGAGATAAACCAAATATAAAATATTTGCAAGTAACAGAATTGTTTGGTTTCAGAGAGAAAGTGCAAGAAAATAGTAAGAGGAAAAAATGTACAAGGAAAAAAATAGTTGAGTATTTTAGTTGATTGGAATGAAAGAAAAATGAAATCAAAGGATGATAGAACTTTTCTCCTTCTCTTGATTGATTGGTACAAAGTGCCAGAAAAAAGTATGCATGTGAAATGACGTAAATATTAATATTAAAATATGTAAATAATTAATAATAAATATGGTTAACTGTTAAATAGATAAGGTTATTGTGGTAATGATAACAGCTACAATATGCAGCCTTTTCTAATGCTTTCCATCCAAAAGGGAAGGAAACACTTTAACACGTAGGCCCTGCATATTATTCCATTCCCTCTGTTGTATGTTGTGAACCAAACATGAATGGATCGCAATCATTGTGTTTTCATTTCTAACATTTCCCTTCCTCTCTCTTATGTACGTTACAAACAAATGTTAAAAGTGTCCTCACCAGCACAAAGTTACTAACTATTAGTCTATTATTATAAGAACCTTCGCCAATCAAACATACCATGATACCACCCATGCTAGGAAGAGGTGGGATGTCATAGGACAAAAAGTGGCATGTCAAAAAGAAGCATAAAACTAAAAAGGCAAATATTTTTATAATTAAATTTGGTGTGTATGGGGAGAACCTACCCATTCATAATTATTGGAAAGGAATTCGGCTACAGTAGATTTATGCCTCGTCATGAGTTCCTGCAACAAAAAGGCATGATAAAATAACAAACTTTGTGGGCAAAAAGTGCACGACGCCAAAACTAATAACTACCTTAAAAGTTGCTGCGGCATCTGCAGCTATGTCGAAGTTTGGGATCTGAATGTAGTCAAAAAACTTCTTCATATGAGGTGATTCTAGAACATATCTGATATATCAAACCAAGATTTAACGCGTAAGTCACAGAAGTTGTACTTGAAAGAAATAAAATACTTATCGACAACTTTATTTTTTCATCTAACTACTGTCAAGTTTTTGCACGAGCTTCTTACAAATTACCTTTCTCATTGGCAATTAAAACAATTCACTTAGAGGTAAAATTACATGAAAATATAGCAATTAATTATGACGTACGAAACATGAAACTAATCAAACGTGAATTAAAACCTCGACCAAACTAATTGTATTTCTGCTGGAAAACAACAATCACAAGTTTGAAATCACATAAACGACAAAAAATGAAATGATTTGCTTCTTTTTCCTTACTTCGCAACAATCTGATGACGTACGAAACATGAAACTAATCTAACATGAATTAAAACCTCGACCAAAATGATTGTATTTCAGCCGGAAAACGACAATCACAGGTTTTAAATCACAGAAACAACAAAAATGAAATGATTTGCTTCTTTTTCCTTACTTTGCAACAATCTGATGACGTATGCACTCCCTTAACATTGCACCATAATGCAAAGCCATCTCTGGGTTTTCATAGCTGAAAAAAATAAAAGTCAATAGCATACTATAATCAATTTCATAAAAAATAAAATAAAAAACGCACAGATTTAAGAAACATGACTAGTATCCACAAAATATACACATAAAATTCAACTAATATTCGAAACTTAGATTTAGATTTCAATCCATTTGGCCAAACCAGTAAACTCACCAACACACTATAAGTCAAACATCATGAAACCAAAATGTTAGCACATTATTTGACAAAAAAAATCTCCATCCAACCGTTATTTACCTAGATATCAAAATATCCATAAGATCCATATTCCTTTCCAAGTAATCAGACGCGATCAGCTTAGACTGAACCTGCTGCCTCTGTAAATTTGCAACTACTTGAGTAGCATCTTTCCTGGCCTGCACAATCACAATCACAAAGTCTCAATACCAGACTAATACATATATCACAATCTGCGTTAACAACAAATCAATAACTACCTCCAAGTTCAATTTCGGAAGACACTCGACAAGAAGTCGAAAAGTATTTTCGTTAAAGAACTCCTGAGTCAATTGCGAACAAGCTTCCGGCACTGGTTCAGCTTCACTATTTCCATACAGAATTGTTTTCATCTCTCTTAAATTCTTAAACAACTCGATCATCTAGTGATAACAGAACCATCAAACATTAGCAGAAATTGAAATTGAAAATAAAAAAGAGGAACAGAGCGATTGAAATAAAAACCTTGTCATTATCGCGCTTGTTAACTGAAGCATTCTGGAGAAGACGGAGAAGATCTCGAGTGTTGCGGACAATGTCGGCAGGAGTACGGGGCTTAGGCTTGAAGAGGCTCTTGGATTCCGTCGGAGGTGGAGGTTCGGAATAAACCACCACCTCCGATGAAGAGGCTCTTGCAAGCCCCTTCGATTTCGACAAGCACACACCTATTTTTGCTAATTATGAATCATCTATTTGATTGATTGCGTTAGGGTTTTTTTTTAATTCCGATCGAGAATCGATTAATCTTCGCTTCTCTTCTCTTCCAACTGTGTTTTTGTTTCAGTGTTTGTTTGTTTGTTTGTGTTGGGTTGTTGTGCTCCTCTTTCAACTACGCTAATCGCTAACTAATAACTTAATTTACAGTACATTTATGTTTTCTTGGCTTTTCCCCTCTTTGTCCTCAACACGCGTCCGTTTTCGTTAATAACCTGTTCCTTGCCGATTTCTCTACCAACAAAAACAATATTAAATGTTAGTATTGGTTATTTTTTTATTTGGTTTAATCAACCTCAAATTTAATAATTTATTATTGGTTTAATTTAATATTTTGCTTTATTTTCTTAACTAAATAAATTATAAAATATTTTTTTAAATCAATTTTGTTATATGAGATGGTTTCTATCTTCTTGGATATTTACAATTTCTTAATTTTTTTTTCTCTTTGTTTTTTTAATTGTTTATCTAATTTGAATTTTTAACAAAATGAGAAAGAAAAAAAGAAAAAATGCGCTCTGCATTCTTTTTTCACTTTCAAACCCTTAATCAACTGGAGAATGTGAGTGGTGCGAAGAAAGAGCAAGCGACGAGACGCATATAAATCTCGTTGAATACTAAATGAGTGTAAACCAACCATTGTGCATTTTCGGACGAAAATTTCCTCAAGGTATGATTACTATTGCTAATCATGTTCCCCATCAATCTTTTTCTTTTTAGCACCTTATCAAGATTTCACCAAGGTTCTGGAGCAAATCAAAGTTTATGACTAGTTCGAGATGTGACACTAGCATTCAACTCTGTGTTTGCAACTGCAAGAGTCAAACCTATTGTCATTATGCTTGAAGAAATAAAAGTGTATCTAATACAAATATGAGAGTCAAATAGGTCGAAGATTGTCAAATTTGAAAGTACAATTCTACTAAATATAAAAAAGATGATGGAAAAGGAGTCACAAAAAACAAACCATTGGATTGTGAGGTAATATGATTATATTGTGCTTTCTACACGTAATATGATTGTCTTACAATTGTATTATGATTATATTGTGTTTTCTACATGATCACAAACAACTCTCAGTCAGCCACCACAAACACCTCCTAGTCAGCCACCACAAGCACCACTCATCCAGGCAGTAGCAACACCTTCAACTCAGCCACCACCCCAAAAGAAAATAAGACATTAAAGGGGAGGGGGAAACATGTTTCAAGTCAACAATAATTTCTAATTTCTGATCTTTGTTTTGATGTTTTGTTATGTTGTTTTGTAATGTAATGAATTATGTGAATGATATGGCTTATAATGCCATTTTGAATTATGCTCTGATATGTAACTCTTCATTATGAATAATAATGTTATTTTGGACTATATGCCTTATAATGTCATTTTGAACTGATATGTAATTTTGTTAATACTCATTGGAATGATATGGCTTATAATATCATTTTACATTGGTCCCATAATTGTATTATAGATTTCAAATTAGACCTTAACTAAATTGTACTGTTTCACTTTAGTCCCTAAATTAGTATGTTACACTAGTGTTTTTTTACCATTTTTTTATACTTGTGTTTTGTTTCATTGCTATATCATTGTTTTGTATGAGTATTACTTCAATGTTTTGTTTCAGTTATAATGGTACAATATACTTAACACATTTTTTCTCATAATTCAACAAACACAATGCTTTACCCTTATCTTATTTGAAATATATTGTTACAAACACAAGATTCAACCTTAATCTAAAAATCTCAACCATAATGGACATTTTCAACCATCCTCTAATATGGAGAACCTCATTCTTCAATTTTAAAATTTTCTTCTTTTACCTTTGAATCTTCAAATCCCTTTAATCAACAATTTTATCACCTAACCACTTGAAGAAATTACATCCCTTATCCATTTGATTTCTATAATTTCTACAATCCCAAAATTTTCTCCCATAGTTCACATTGTTCATATTACTTATAGTACTAAGAACACTTCCTCTTTTTTCTACGAAGCACATATCTAGTTGTCCCAAAGCTTTGGTTGTTTGGAATTTAAGCATTGCTTGCACTCTTTGACATTAGGGACAAGAATACGCAGCAGTGGAAAGATGATGATTGAACATAGAAGAAAACAAAAGAAGGAAAGATGGTGATTGAACAATACAAAAGAAGGAACGTTGATGTCGCTGATTTAAGAAAACCCTGAAAACAAAATAGGGAAGATGATAATTTAACCCTAGAATGTGTTTATAAAACAATTGTTGAGTCAACATTTTACTATTTGCCTAGTTGTTTGGGGTGGCAAAACAGGTCGTAGCCCGCCGGGTCACCCCGCGCACCCGCCAAAAAATGGCGGGTTGGGTTGGGATTTTGGGCACGCTGCCCACTAAAGACCGACGCCTTCAAAAACCCATCACCTGCCTAAGCCTGCCGCACTTGTTCATTCAGCTTATCCCGCCTTAACCCCGTCATTTTTTAGTTAATTCTAGTAATTCCAATTCTTGATGGTTTTATTTTATACATTTATTTGAGAATATATGCAATATTTTTTGAAGTAAAATTTGTTTAAGAGATGCTTTATAAAAATTATTCTAAAAAATAAGTGAAAAATCTAATCGAAATGTAAAAACAAACCTATTAATCTATTAAAAAATGAAAAATAAATAAAATAGTAGGCAGGCAAGCCCGCCACCTTGACGGGGCGAGTTAAGGCGGGTAACACGGGGAAGGGCGGGCGGCCCATTTTTGCACCCCTACTAGTTGTCATGTCACATAGTCAGTATTTAATGTTTTTTCAGAAAAATTAACGGCATGAACCTTTTCTAGTAACATAGTGGTTTTTAGGGGACTACTTTGTAACGTGTTTTAGTTAAGGGACTAAAGCGAAATAATAAATAAAGTTAAGATATTCGGTGACTAATTATGCGTTTTAATTTTATTTTTAAGGCTTTAAAAAACTTCAATAAGTTTTAATCTTTTAAAAAAATTGACATTATTTTTGGACTTTATTACTAAAATGATATATTGAATTGAGATTTTTAAAAATTATTTTGACAAAAATATTTTAGATTTTGAAAGGTGTTGTAAAATTATATCAAGATTTTCATTCTTTGAATGGTAAAGCATTTTTAAATAGATTTTTAAAACCTCAAACAACTTTACGCATTTTAAAGATTTTTTTCCTTTCATCTGCATTCATAATAGTCAAGAGTAGTTAAGGGATTTCTACTTGATGGAACGATGTTGTGTTGTCTTGTTTGAGATTTAATAAAGCAAATATAAAAAGAGTCCACTATGAAATGAGCATCCAAAGTGAGGCGGGGTGTATGGGGATAAGTTCATGAGATATCCATTCCTACAACAAAGAGGTTATGACGGGTACCATGAATATTGTTTTTTATTCAAACATTTTCCTCATGAGTCGAGAGAAAGTCTAGATGATTAAACCCAAAGAGAAATAAAGGATTTTATAGTCCATACACTCTTGAACATAATGAAGGAAATACTCTTTTTCTAAGCCACATCTAGAGCACATAGCCGATCAGACCATGTTGCGGTGGTGAAATAGAGAAAGAGTAGTAACAAAGTTATGACAAGCAAGCCAAAAAGGGAACATGGTTTTTTTCCTTCGATAAAATGAGTTTCTAAATCCAATGTTGGGATTGAGGTTTTGTATTAGACTCAAGCAAATCTTCTTTGTTGTGGAGTGTAACACCTTCCACCCCAAACACTTAATTTATAAAACAGGGGGAATTATAAAATATGAAAGGGTGCTACATTTTTCAGCATAACATTCTCAAACCGTAATAGCAACGAAAAACACAACTCCAATTGTCTCATAAATAGAAATAAATTTCATTTAATCATAAAATAGATGATTCAACAACTCGCAGAAAAACAGAATAAGGTATTCTCAATCCAGTGTTACACTATAAGAGCGACATGCGAAAAACTAAACATAAAAACATAAACAACAAAAAAGGCCAACTATTCCAACATCCAATTCAAGCAATAACTAAAGCTCATCAGTCTCTACTTAAGTATTTGCACCACATGCGTAAAAAGTAACACAAAAACAAACATGGGGTGAGAATACATTCACATATGTTAACAGTGCATAAAACAACAAGGATAGTGCAATTATTATAAATAATCAATCATATAATCCATCCATAACAATAATCATTCACAAATGCAATTATATATGAAATGTATTCATATCATCTACTCCAATGTATGTGGTAGAAAAATTCAGATATTCGGAGGCGTGTTACTAAAATATCTAACTCATTTAGACTGTAGTCCTACTCGTCACTGGATTGAAGTCTTAACACATCACTGGATCGAAGTACTACCTATCTCTGATATACATGATGCATGAATGTTACACAAATATACATGATACTCGTCTCAACCTCCAACTTCAATAATTGTCGCTGGTTCCTCTCGAACCTAAAAATTAGCATAAATTGTCGCCAATACAAGGCCACATCAATGGTTCCATTGAATCGAAACATCTCAGAAAACCATTGAAAACATAAACCACTCAAAAATCAAGTTAAACGATCCATAATCGGTCAAAACAAGAACTAACTGTCAGCCCTCCAAGCATGACGTCCGTCATACCCACCCGTCATCTCCCTCTCTCAATCTCTCTTCATATCATTAACGACTAACCA